TATATATAAGATAGATAATAATAGATAATAATAAATAGATTCGCGCAGATAGGGCAGAGAATGAACATCTCGACTGACTAGACTGGATTTAAACAAAAAAACATTTACCAGCTTTAACACGTAAAAGTAAAGATTGCTGCGACGGTCGCAACCAGGGCAATGCCGACCACAGACTAACGGCTACACAGACTGGACACTTCGTATACCCTGCTTGTTAAGCGTTTCGATGGTGCTGCCCCTGGCGAATGAAGCGGTCAACTACTCGATGGCATCGGGGGTGTCTATATTCAAGCCGGTACGAGAATCATTTGCATAATATATTCTAGATATATTCCCAGATATAGCGTTGTTCATGTTTCCCACAGAGCATGATAGGTACTAGATTTATCACGTGTTGCATGTTATATACGTTTGCAAATAGTAAATTCGTTAGGACGGCAATGACACATGCAGTGACTCACTGACTGCTGTGCACACGAACAGAGACTGCACTTATTGATTGTTTAATTATATGTAAGCATAATATCAATGTAAACTAATACAAGATACAATCTTGTGAAGCTAACAGTTAACAGTTAGGGAAAACACTACTTGGTTCGGTGATCTGTGTAATTCTGCTGCCCTTTGTTCTGTGAAAAATACCAGTTAAAACGATATGCAATTTGTAAATAATACACCACATCACATGACACATGTAGATCATCATGTACATAGACTTCGGAAGTGGATCTGCAACATAAGAAGAGCTGACATTGACGGGTTAAAAGACAGCCAATGCAAATATCTGCTAATTTGCAAGAATCATTTTGAGGCATCTCAATTTATGTGTCCAGCTGACAAGGGTTTAAAATCACTGGCTGCTTTGAAATGTGATATGCTGTACCTATTTAAAAATATAACTATTATTAGTATGGGAAATTAGTAAAATACATTGCTTTCTCTGCTTCTCGTCGTGTGACTCATGGGGCGTTATACATGTACCAGGCTTGATTTCATGAAATATATATAAACAGAAAAATACGGTCGAGAAATATTCACTGAGCACTGGGCACTGAAGTATATCATTATTGCTTATGGCAATATCAAAACTAAACCAACAAATGCTGAATAATTTTGCTAATATAAAATTCAAACTGTCTGTATTTTACCTTATTTTCCATAATTCCTTCACCCGATCCCTTCCACCTTTATTAAAAACACAAGGGCAAGTCAGAAAATTTAAGAGGCTAAGAAAGGATGCAGTTCCATCTCTGATAGAAGTAAGTAACCCTCCTGCACTCCGAACCTAGAAACAAGCAGAATCGTAAATTGCTGAAGCTCCAGCACTTGTGATTAAGCTTTCTAGCAATAAATGTGATTAATGGTATTTGAGTAAAAAATATGGAAATTATATCGTCTTTATTATTTTTACTGTTTGTAGAAAAAACGAACATCTCACAAAATCCGGTCACAGACTGAGGAATAAATTAAACTACAGACTGTAGCACAGTATACCGTGTGCACATTACGCATTTTGATGTATTGTGTGTATTGTGCATTAGTCTGTGATTCTAGATTCAGGAATGTATAATTAAACCCCAGTCCAAATATTATAATTAACGATAGAGACCGTTTTAATGTACACACGTTACACATCCAGTGGTGTGTCACCCACAGCCAATTTTTAAGTTGTACCGCTCGCCATTCGCTGGGACGGCGCGCACCCATTCAATTGCATTACAGCCATTTGGTGTTCGTCCAGTACTGTGTATCCGTTAGCGTCTGTGTGCCGGATGGCCTCTGCTCGTAAGGTTAACCTTGGTAAACATTGATTCGCGGTAGTAATAACAAGTTAGAAGAAAATCAAACACTTGTGCGCGACCTCTTGGTCCGCTTGAGGAGGTGATGCAAGCTAGGCATTGTTCGTTCTTCCTGCTCTGACCCTTAGAGTGTTTCGTCAAAAAGTTATCGTAGAACGTCGTGACTCAAGCCCGGCCGTTGATGACACGACACGCCACTATGGGATGGTGCGCTAACCCGCGCACGTCCCAATCACCTCCGGCACATCGTACAGCCGACTTTTCTTCCACTAACGTCTTGTTATTCTTTGAGAAAGAAACTCGCCTGCTCGGACAAGAGGCACTGCAACGACAAAGGAACAGCAGCAGGTGAGTCACGAATCCATCAGGTGAGTCCCATGGGCGCGTGTTTGGTCAGATCCTGCCCATGACCCCTAAAAAGACATAGCGCCTCGATCCGAGCGGATTCGTGTGAGTCTGTACTGTTTGTTTGGCGGTTCGGGCAATCAGCTTATGATCTGCTCGAGATCCACACAACCGGACCACGCTTCAACGACCGCCCGAAACTTCACCTGCGAGAGTCGTAGCATGCCAGAGCGTGAATTCGACGAAAGTCGGGACTCTGCACGAATATTGGTCGGAAAAGTCGGTAGCGCTTAGGCCCTGCCTCGTCCCAAACTGCGCCACAGCCAATCTACAGTTTGTTACTTTGTTCATGAACATCTCCGTGATAGCTCACAGGGCGAAAACGTGAACCGTCGGAAAGTGAGTTGCTTTGGTTTTGTCAGATCAGGACACTCACATGATCTTCGATCAGACCGGATTCGTCCCAGACAAACGCGCCCCATGAGTATGGTATGACTGTATAGTCTATGGTAACTATCACTGCCTTTCTGAGCATGCGTCCTACTAGACGGCTTCGCAATATTAGAACCTTGCAGAGTCCTGAACACAAGCTGCGCAGTTCATCTTTTTATTTCTGTTCATGAATGTTTTGCAATTCAGAGTGAAGCAGTTCATGTATATCGTTTATTGATTTTAATGTGCTACAAGCAATGTTTGACTAGGAATAACAAGATATCCTAATCGTTTATGCAGGACAAAAATCATGAGACAGCAGACGTGGACTATGGTGAAACACAGTGCTATCCACGAATCGGCATGACAAGCAGAGGGCAGGGTCGTACAAGGAAACATGAGCTGCATGTGACATGCAGTTAGCTAAGGGAGCGATGAGGTAACCACGACAGTGGGCAAGTTTGATCAATAAATAAGCAATACAGAAGAGATGAGGACAGTACCAAGGGTGAGCCCAATCGGTATCGTATCAGATCAGGTGAGAAAGGAGTAACCTAAAAACTACAGTTACCCTAGTGACCTAGTACTGAGGTCAAGCGGCTACACTGTAGCAAGAACGCAGCAGGAGGTGACAGCCAGGGGGAGGTGCCCACCCGACTACGCTCACATCAGTATTCTACATCAGATGAGCAGTTGAGCGTACGGTGTACATATCGAGTAATAATGACTAAAACTCGATCGTCTGAGCTAGTATAAATAAGCCGTACTAATGAGTCAACCACCGCGAAACAACCCATAACCGGTCTTTATTATCATTGGGAATATCAGACGACACACATTAGAGCTTTAAATGACATGGAGTATGGATAGAATAGACGATTCGGTTTTATTCCCCATGCCCCATACCATTGGGATGCCCATATATATACTTGGGAGCCATGTTCTCTAATCCTTGAAACCACGCAGCTATCTGCGCACTAGGAGCGACCTCGACCTACTCAGCCAGAAACGCTCTGCTTGCTAGCCGTCCTAGACACGCACGCCCGCTATGCCCCCCGCCGCTGCGCATCGGCGCTATACTAGGACACAGGCACTTGAAGCGCACCTTTCAAAATAAAATATTAATGCTAACTAAATCGAAATCCTATTTACTACGAATATGTTTAATGTTCTAAGTATAGGGCCTATCTCTGTTTCAAAGAAGGTTTCGAGGGGCAAAGCTATATAACTAGGACTGCCTGCGACGCCCCCGCAGACACGTCCTCAGCGATATCGCACTGTAGCGAGTGACTAAAGGCTAAGCCGAGAGGTGCGATGATGGAGGCGACCGGAGTCGTAAGCTACGCTGACTCGCCGGTCCGGGCCACGCTGCGGCCGCAACTTCCGCTTTCCAAAGCCCCCGTAGCCCAGCCTGCGGCCATGGAACGGTTTGGCAAAAAAACGTGCACTGCTGCAGGAGAGCGCCACCTAGCGCGTATGGGGAGGCTCATCATGTCGCTGTTCAGCCGCGGCGAAAGAAGACGCTGTGGCAGCCCATGCTGGCTTAGCTGTTTCCCTGATTCTGACAGCCGTTCCAGATCAGCGTGGGCACAAGGAGCCGATCGGCGTGCCCCACAGTCAGAATCCGCTCAGCAATTCGGTCGATCATTCTCGGCATTCTGCAATCTGGAGCGTGATGTTCCGTTCGCGTCTGAAGCCACCCGAGACGGACGAGAATGGTGAATGCGACGAAGGAAGTGAGCTATACGGTTTTATCAAGCTGTTTTATATAAAACAGGTGACAGGAGCTGCTCGACGTCCCAAAGTGCCTACGCCTCTGTGTGCGCCACCTACGGTAATAGGACGTCATCGGACTGATCGCCATAAGTAGGGCAGAGGCCATACCAATGTAGGGGAGAGCCCATACCATGTAGGGGATGGTCATTGGCACAAGCTAAAATGGACACCCCGATGTAGGCGCGAGAGCCATGAACCATGTAGGAAACCGGACTGGCCATAACGCATGTAGGGACCAAAGTGTCATTAATCCGGTATGTAGGGGACTGGCCATCACATGTAGGGGATGCCATCCGGACCACCATGTAGGAGATGGCCCA